GAGGCCCCCAGGCAACCCCTCCCTAACCCCGGGAACCTCTACGGCATGACCCAGGGCCGAGCTGCACCCCCAAAGCCCCAGCTTAACAAGGAAAAGCCGGGGCAGCCGTGCAAACACTAATGAAGGGAGCCCACTGGTCAGACCCATACGGCACGGCTGGAGGAACCGACTCGAATGCCTCCGCCGCCACCCCGGAAGAGGAAAACCCCCGAGACTGCCCGAGTCTCAACCCAACCAGACCCCGCCCCAACCCCGAAACCCGTCTATGGTTTGGAGCAGGAAGCAAGGGAGGAAGTGAGCAGAACAGAAGGGGAAGAACAAGAAGCGGAAGGAGCCAGAGTCGCAGCAACTCCCACCCCCAAGTCCAGACCCCAACCACCAAAACGGGGCAGCCTCGGGGCATCCGGGGCCGCAAACAACCAAGAGCGTTGCAGCAACATACACCCAGCAAGCAATGCTGCAGCCGCCTGCACCCGATTATCGAGACCAGTGGGCTGGGTGAAGGAGAGCACGTACCGACAACAATCATCGGACGGCTCCGGGTCAGAAGAACAAGGACCCAACAGGCAGCATGGAGGAGGCACAACCGGTGAGTGTCACCCTGAGACAATGGGACAGATCAACCATCAAACTCACAGGACGCGAGGGGGACTCCGGGGACACACCTAGAGGATCACAAAGCCCCCATGGGGTTTCCCAGGGCCCTTAGCCTTTGGTACACGCTAAGGGAAGCCCAGGCAGGGTACCGCGAACTGGCGCCCAAATCTACCAACAAACTGCTAAAGCTGAACCCCCGGGACGTGTCCACTCACGGGGGCCAAACGGGGAGTACCACCAACAGAAGAATTCGAAAGAAAATCACCTAGAACAGGAAAGGGGGACCATAGTAAAGGCAGACCCCCCACCAGGCAAAAACAAAAACAAAAGAAAAACCCCGCAAGAGGACAACGTACCCAGGCGGAACAGAGCCGGCCGCTGTTAATGGTGAAAACTAGCTGTGCAGTACCCCGCGCCCCTACCAGTGACGAAAACTACCACCTACCCAGAGACAAACCAGGGCAACAAAACTCCAGCCGACTCCAAGGGCGGCCCAGTACCGAGCAGTAAAGGACACAGCGGAGGTAGAACCCAAGGCGACTTGTGGAAGGTGGCCCCAAGCCCCAAGGGCAGTACTTATAGGGCACCTAGGGAAGATAGCCCTAGGCACATGCAGCCCGAGTATCGTGGAATCTTACTCCTGGCTCACACCCCACCGGTAGAGACAGTCCACACCACAAGGCACAGAATTGAAACAAAAACCGGAGCCAGAGGCACTCGACCAGCCAGTAATACCATCAGCCAAGAACTGCCAGTTGGATTGCCGGCGTGGAGGGTCTGGGGTTCCCCCTTTCCCCTCTTGGGGAGGGGGGGGTTGCGCAAACGGTGGCGCGGCGACGTGATGACGTCATGCTAGTTTGATAATTTTGTTTGGGGAGTTCTGTCCACTCGTTCGGCTTTCGGTAGCAATAATTTCACCAGAATAGGGGTTTGTTTTGGGGCACCTACCTTTCTGGGTGCCTGTCCCGGTCGATGGCAGACATAGAATGCTCCCAATCACAAGGGGGTTTCTATAGGCCATTGCTCCTCATGCCTCTCTGAGGGGGCCAGGTTCTGGCTCGTGGTCCCCGGTAGGCAAGAACTCCTAGCACTTTGACTGATGCCAGAAAGTTATACATATCCATTCAGCCTGGATAGCTCCGGGGAGCCGACGGGGCTCCCCCCCAGAAAAGCAAGCCCAAACACTCAGCACAAGAATGTAAAATGTTTGTTTGCGAGTGCAAACACTCAACCCAACGTAAACACAACCAGCAACGCCGCCCCACGGATGGGTAGGAAGCACTCCCAGAAGAGCAAAATGGCTACCAAAACAAATAACTAAACCGTCGCAAAACATCCAAACTGAAGTTTGGATGTTTTGCACCCGACGGATGGTTGCGCACAATGCAAAGGTGTGTAATGCACGCCGACAAATATGGTAAACCATAGCAGAAGCAGAAGGGAAGGGAAGGAGCATATTGGACATGCTAATATGCGTCCTGAACACCATCCAAGCGCCCTACCCCAAAAGAAGCCAGACCTGGGACTGAGTAGTCATCCAAAAGAAGGGACAATAGACCCAGGGGTTCAGACGGGACAAGTCCAGAATGAACCTCAGGTCTGCACAGTCCCGTTTCCGGACAGGAAACAGACGGGAAACCCACCTGAGGGACGTCGTCGTTTCAACCATGCCCAAATGCACCCACTCTGAGATGACCTGACAGAGTACAGGAGAAAATGCCTGCCCCGCCAGCCCCGAACCCCCGAAGGAGGAAGAGGGACCACCCAGTGCCACCGCAGGTCGATCGAAACAACCCGAAAGGCCCACAAATCGTAGGATCAGGCATGAGCAAACAGAGCGATCCTCCCCCCATCGCCCCATCTATGGGACAAACTGCGAAAGGGCCGACGTCCCTTACGTGAACCTGACCTTCGCACAGAGCAATCACCGCACCGACCTGACGAAGACGGTTCCGAAGGCTGCGCCGGCTCTAAAACTGGCACCACTGGCCTATCACGATAGGAGGAACCCCGAGCCCTGGGTCGACCCTTCCGGGAAGACCTCCCATGGGCCCTGCTGAAGAACCAACAACTCTGACATTAGACAACAACTGGAGGAAACTGCCTGCAGATACTGCCCAACCACAGAGTCCGCAAACAGCAAGGGACAAAAAGACGACGAAAACCTAAAAGCCAGAGCCCAAGCAGATTACAAAGAGGTTGCGAGCACCACCTGCCAACACATGAGACGAGAAGCAAAAAACAGAGACACCGCATCCCGCAGGATCGGCGCAAACAGCTTCAACAAGGCAGATGACGCACGTGCCACCGAGACCAAGGCATCAGACCCAGGAACAGCTCCAAGTGCCTCCACATCCTCTTCAAGCTAATCCGAGGACAGCTCCAGAAGGGTAAAGAAACACAAGATCAAAGCCAAAAGGCCACAAGCGCACAAGTCCTCAGCAACCAGTGCAGCCGAAAGGGTGGAAACCTGCATGTGAAGCTGCACGATGCCAACATCCCGAGGAAGTGCAGGGGTGAATAAGCATGCATTGAGGTGCTCAAACTCGTCCCCCAGGTAAACCTGGACCACCGTCAAACCCTCACGTCATTCAAGTGTGCGGGAACGACAAAACATATGCCAAGCCTCCAATGAAAAACCAGGGCAGTCTGCAAGCCAAGACAACTCCAGAACCTCATAACGAACCCAGTAAGGAGACGAAGATACTAACCCGAATGAAGACAGATCCATTAAAGAGGCGAAATCCGGGATGCGGGAAGCCGATAACCTCCAGAAGGACTGGACCAATGGACCCGAAGGGTCACGGAACAGAACCCAGGGAGAGGCTGACACCAAATCCAACTCGTACGCGGAAGGGGGGAAGGAAAACCACACTCCCTGTAACAGCAAGCCCTGCTCAGAATGTACAAAAACCCAAGTGCGGTCCAACAGGGTCCAAGGCCCCCCAAGTCAATCCCCCCCCCCCAGCCCCAAGAACCTCCACAGTAGGACTCAGGGTGAGCCATTCCCCAAAGCCCCGGCCTCAAAAGGAAAAGCCAGAGCAGCCAGAAAAGCAGGAAGGAAGGAAGGGGGCCAACTAGTCAGACCCAGATGCTTCGGCAGGAGGAACTGGCTCGATTGTCTCTTTCACCACCCCAGAAAGGACATTCCCTGTGACAGCCTGAGTCTCTGAATCAACTCAAACCTGCCCCAACTCGGAAACCATCAGACGTTTTGGAGCCGGAAGCACGGGGGGGGGGGGGGGGGGGGAGGAGGAGGAGGAGGACCAGAATGAACCACAGCAGGGGTAGGACAAGGGGGGTGTGGGCTGAACCAAAGTTGAAGCGACTAACACCCCCAAGTCTGGGTCCCTATAACTAAAACAGAGCAGCCTTGGGGCTTCTGGGTCAGCAACCAACCTAGCGTGCTGCAGCAACCTAAAATGAGCTTGCAACGCCTGAGCTGCCTGCACCCGAATAGTGTCATCAGTGGACTGGGTGTACCGAGTCACAAACAAGCAACAAAATTCACAGGATTCTGGGTCGAAGGTGTCACCGACCCAACAGGCAGCGTGATGGAGGCATAAAGGGTGAAGGTCACATGGAGACAAGGGGACTAAGCAACCCTCAAACTCGAAAAAGGCGAGAGGGGACCCAGGGGTCACTTCCATTGGACCCAAACGTCCCCACAGGGTTTCCCAGGACTCTAAAGATGGAACTCATGCTAAGGGAAGCCCGGGCAGGGTACTGCTAACCGGTGCTAAAAATTACCAACAAAACTGCTAAAGCTGCCCCCCACCCTCCTCCCGGGACATGTACACTCACAGGGGCCTAGCGGGGGACCATTAAGATGCAATCGGGTGAGACTAAAACCAAGGGGCAGACCCCCACCAGGCATGAAAACAAAAACAAAAGAAAACCCCCACAAAAGGACAACGTACCCAGGCGGAATAGAACCGGCCACTATGAGAGGTTATAACAAGCTGCACAGTACCCTGTTCCCCAACCAGTGATGAATGCTACCCCCTACCCAGAGGTAAACATGGGTGCATGAAACACCCCAGCTTAATCCAAGGGAAGCCAATCACCAAGCAGCAAAAGATCTTGTGGAGGTAGCCCCCAAGGTGACTTGTGTTAGATGGCCCCAAGCCCCAAAGGCAGTACTTACTGGGCACTTAAGGAAGGGGACTGTAGACCCATGCAGCCCAAGTACTTGTGAATATTCCCCTGGCTCGCACACCACCAAGGACAGCACTACACCACAAGGCACAGGACCGGAATTTGGGAGCCAGAGTCGCACGACCTTGCCAGGGTCGTGCTTAATTCTTATTAAAATAAAAGAGAAACTTTTGTTTGAAAATGTTGCCAGTAGCTTTTAGATTTGTGTCAAGTACTGTATATAAAAACACAAATATAAAACAAACCTGGCTTAAACATGCGCACTGTAGTTATATTTTTTCCTGCTCGCCATTCTTCAGCTGTTATGAGAGAGACTGCAGGCAGCAATGTCACAAGAGGTTGACTTGTTGGCCATGAGGACCGTCCCACCTCCACACTCAGCATGACACTTCCGGAATTGCCTGCAATTTATTTTTATCTTTTACAAGCTGAAAATGAAACACTAATGAAAGAGTAGGATTGCCACTGTACACATGGCTTCCACTGCATAAATTATTCATAGTATTTTAATATAAATTTTCTCCATTTCATTGTAGTTAACACTTGATTTCTGGAATGGCCCTCTCATAACTCCCAGTAGTTAACTCACAACTGTGCCTGAGCAGTGAAAGCCAACTTTTCTGAAAGGGAAACCAAAGATTAATAAAACAGAAAAATGGAGAGAGCTGAACCAAGGTAGAAGACAGCAGGAGAGAAGATAATGTGGCAGAGGAACTAAAGGGAACTAACAGGAGAAAGCACCAAGCCATTACGACTGTATAGCACTGAGAAGAGGTCAGGATAAGGATTTGAGATGGGACAGGGGGGAAGGAATAGTGCCCAACCACTTGGACAGTCGGGAATTGAACGCAGACCTGCATGAAGCAAGACTGTCGCACTACCGTCCAGTCCAATTGGATGGGAATGAGGCAGAGGAGCATAAGCTCTCTGCTAAATGCTCAAGTGCCACACAAGCAGTGATTTTTAGGGACATCCAACAAGTAGCAAAAAAAAACACTAATCAGATTGCCTTGTCTCCTGAGCCCAGATATTGCCATGGATATAGAGTATTTGTAAAGAAAGCCAACAAAACAGCAAATTTTGACACATCATGAGAGCAGGGATAAACCACCAGTTGGCCGAGTCAAACAACCTTCAGGACCTGACCTGGGAGAGATTGGTCTTGGAACAAGGAATGTGCGGTTCGTCTAATTACCCAAAGCCACCCAAATATACTCAAAGCTATCCAAAGCTTCCTAGTACAGTATTATGTAAATAATGAAGAAATATGATGTATTTACTCACTATAATGTTGGTACTGAAGGTAGAACATGAAAATGCATATTTTTACTCTGAAATAATATAAATTTATAACGAAATTAAATGAAACTAAGTGGCATGAGAGGCCATAGGAAGTCAATGATCCAAGTGACAATGTTGTGGAACAACTTATCCAAGATATATTGTTGCCTGCAAGTTATATTAACACTTTCTCACTCTTCGAATGCCCCTGGCATCCACAATTTTTCTCTAGAGTCCAAGTCGTGGACGCAAGCGGCGTCCAACATTTTAAAATATTTGTTAAAAATTTTAATTTTATCCGGTCAATCTGGGAGAGGTTTTAAAATGAGCGCCTTTAGATTGCGCACAATTTGATACCAAAATGAAAGATGTAACACAAAAATTGATGTCAGAACACTAGAAAGATTATAAATACTTTTTGTTCCAAATTTTAAAATATTTGTTAAAATTTTATTTATTGTGCTATTATTATGGGACTAGTTTTAAAATGCTTGTCTTTAGATTGCCAACAATTTGATACTAAAATGAAAGATGTAACATGAAAATTTATGTCAGAACACTGGAAAGATATAAATAATTTTGTAATGATGAGCGTCCAAAATTTAAAATATGTTAAAATTCCATTTATTGCTCTATTATTATTATGGGACTAGTTTTAAAATATGCACGTTTATATTGTGAACAATTTGATACCAAAATGAAAGATGTAACACGAAAATTGATATCAAACTAAACGAGTATACACATTAGGTTGTGGTGTGCCAGTTGGTGCTTGTTCATGGGTAACTTTGGGCTTTGCTGCGGGGATTCACGCTGGACTTTTGGACCTTATATTCACATATACCTGCTGGGAATTTTATTGTGAACACAATGATACTAAAATGAACGATGTAGTACGAGAATTAAGGTGAGAAAATTTAAACAAGTGTACACATTCCAGTGTACACTCAACTGCAAGCTTAACCACACGCTCAACCGCACACTCGCCCGCACTGCCAGGAGTATGACGTCAAAGTCTGCAGCGCGCACGCTCCAGGTGCGATAGTGTTAAGTTTGGTTTGGATAGGTTAGGTTAGGGTTTGTTAGGTTAGGTTTTGTTAGGTTAGGTTTTGTTAGGTTAGGTTTGGGTAGATTGATTAGGTTAGATAGGTACAGAAGGATGATATGCCAGCAAACAATCTCCAAGCAACAATGTGTGTTGGATAAGTTGCTCCACAACATTGTTGCTTGGACCATTGACTTGCTTTGGCATCACTGGCAGTTTAGTTCTGCCTAATTTCGTTATGAAATGAAACTTTTTCTGGGTAAAAATATGTTTTTCTATGTTCTACATTCAGTACAGTACCAACATTATAATGAATAAATATATCATATTTATTTATTACTAACGTATTGTTAGGAAGATTTGGGTAGCTTGTTAGGAAGCTTTGAGTAGCTTTGGGTAATTAGATGGACCCAGAATGCAAGAGAGCAAGTCAACAGAGCATCAACCCACACAGTACGACATGCACGTAAAGAATGGCACATCATAACCACAGGACAGAGTGTATGATGCACTTCCAATCAGATAAACCAGGCATCGACATACGACAGACCCCTCTGAAAGGCAGACATTTCAGTCTTAGTCAAATAAAGGTAAAGGCTTAGAAGGAAATGTAGACCAGGTCAAAAGAAACAGAAACCACACTTTTAGAAAAAAGCATGAATCTCCTCAACTTTATAGCTGCAAGCAAGCACTAGTAGAAAAGCTGCCTTAAAAGTAAGAAGTCTTAACTGATGGAGAAACCTAAAAGTGGGAGAACAAAAACAACAACACTTTATCCAGCGACCAAGAAGGCTTTAAAGGGGGAAGTGGGGTGATAAACTAGCCGGGGGTGATAGAATGCCCAAAACAATAGAACAAAAAGGGGGAGTGGGTTGGCTGGAGTAAAGTCAGCAAGAGATGTTCTGCCAAGGCCAAACAATTTGAGAAACAGTATTTTTCATCAACTGGGGATCAAAGAGGTCAGGAAAGAAGAGCCAGGAAACAAAATATATCACACTGACTGACAGCAATGGTATATATAATACCAACAGGTCCTCCACTTGACCTACCACATGTGATGGTAAACAAGGCCTAAAAAACCATAGACAAAGATTTGTGAAGAACCATGAAAAGTCATACAGATATAGGTCGAGCCAATGATCCACTACGAGGGGCAGAGAAGTGGGAAGAGAATAGGATTGGGGCATTAGGCCAGAAAGATTTGAAACCATGGCTGAACTGGCTACATGAGAGGCAAGAGAAGGTGGGGTATGGGGGGGGAGGAGAGGTGGGAGGGGGGGTATGGGGGGGAGGAGAGGTGGGAGGGGGGGGGGTGCAGCCACAACAGGGGCAAGCACGGCAGAGATGGGGAGGTTATCCTAGCATCCCAGACAATGCCCAAGCAAGTCTGAGCTTGAAAAGGCATCGCCTGAGATTTCTGCCAGTTTCCCAGAGAGCCAAGGCAGGCCAACAAAGGAAGGACCCAATCCTTGGCCAGCAGAAAAACCAACTGACTGAGGGCCTAGATCATGCAAGTCATTTTGGTGAAGATTTTGAAAGTGTGGTTTGGACCAAATAGCAGAGTCCAAAAGTTATACAAGAGGCACCCCACTCTGAACCCCAATCAATTCCTGAACTCCCAGTGCATGGAAACTTGCCAACTGGCATCCAAAGAGCCAGGAATGTGAGCCAAGAGGCACTTGAAACCACCTGGTGAACCTATGTCATAGTGGTCAATCGGAATGTATTACAAAGAATGTAACAATTGAGAACAGACAGGTTCAAAGTGAAGCATGGCTTCAGAGAATCTCACTTTGGAAAAGGAAAGTAATGGGATACACTTTGCAAGAATGGGGATGTTGCAGGAACACCCCTTGTCGCTAAGACAAAACCATCGAGGACCTCTAGACGCTATTCGATATGTCCACCTATGAATCCTTCAACCAAGCATGCTAAAATATATTCAGTCAACCCCTACCACACCATCACTGGGGCATACAACAAAACAGCTGAGTGAATGCCAAGAATGTACCTACAGCAGAGCCACAGGGTGCAAAGGCTAAGCCTAACATACCTAAGAACTGGTGTACCAGAACCCCTACTCCAGCCAAGAGCCTGATAAGCACAGACACAGGATTGGCGACAAGATGGAAAAGGAACCAGTCCCGACAATTGAAACAGCACCCCACTCTGAACAGTCGAGTAGCTGAAGAGCAGCACCTGCAGCCACCAGAATACCACAATAACCTCCTTCTCTGGGAAAAGGAGTGTTGAGAGCAGAGTAGCAAACACCAAGGAAAAAGTCCAAGTAGACTCCTCAAGGGAATCTTAAAACAGCAAGCTGGCAGGCACAATAACCCACACAGAAGTCAATCACTGCATCCTGCAGGAGCAGAGTGAGCAATTTAAGGACAGCATCCACAGCTGCAGTAGCAAACCACAAGTCAGGTGATGAAGGGTCTGACACTAAAGAGCCGAGATTTGTTCAAACTATCGGTCAGATTATTTGACTTTTAATCTTTCTCATAGAGATATTGGTTGTTTCATGATGATCTATAACTTTCTGAGCAGTTCACTGTGTTAGTGGGTTGATCTATGATCTCCATAGGTTTCTCTTGCCCCTTTCATGGGGAACTAGATATCAGCCCTGGCCACTCATAGGCAAAGAGAGTCTCAGCGACCTGACATTTGTGAATGGCCGTGTGGTGCGAAAACCATAATCTCTGGGGAACAACTGAGAGGGTCATCATAGAGCAAAAAGTTGTGCAGTACTTTAATAATTATGTTACTGCTTAGCTCAACCTTTCACCTTCTTTACTGCATCAGATAAGTGCAATTCTCACACTCCTAACTGGAATCACTCACATTGTGACCAAGACCATTCAAAATAATTAAGCTAACATCCTTTAGTTTATACATACTGTATTTCAGATATAAACAATTAAATTTTGTGAATATGTTGGTAATATTAGCATAACAATGGGAAATATTCTTACCAATATCAATATAAGTAATTGTAGTGGCTCGTTCAAGCTGCAAGTCTGCCTGCAGTCGGCTCACCTTCTCAGTGGGGTGACTAAGCCATGAACCCCGGCCATGAACCAAGTCCTCCACTGTGTGCTTGGGGTCCTGTTGAGAAAGACAAGCTAACTATAAGCGAGTATAGCTAATCATTACAAAACTCCAGTTCAAATTCTGGTTGAGTTACTGCCGGAACAACCGTGGACATCTTCAAAAGAAAACTAGATAGTTTTCTTCAAAGGGTGCCGGACCACCAGGCTGTGGTGGGTATGTAGGCCAGCGGGCCTCTCCAAGTCAAGCTTGGTCTCGGGCTGGGCTTGGCAAGCAGAAGAATTCCCAGAACCCCCATCAAATAGGTATCAAATAGGTATCAAATAGGTTAATGATTAGAAATACAAAAATAAAATTACTACCCAGAATGACCAGCAGTAGTGCTGCACCAGTCTTATATGTGGTACCTCCTCAAAAGCATTAGAGAAGTAAGCAGAGTTGCCTCACACTTAATTCGTATTGATGCTGAGACTGATTCCTGAGCAGGGCAAAACATTTGGGTACTTTTCCTTATTCCTAATGCTTTTGTTCACCGATCAGTAAATAGATACTGTACCTGGAAGTTAGTCAAATGTTCGCTGCCTCCTGAGAAACAACCAGTCATTGGCCAGATGGACCATGATAACCCGAAGTCGCCCAAGGATTCTGTCTCCAACAGTGGGATATCAACACATCTGTTTCTCTAGTACTACATCTGGTAACGTTATTCAACTCTCAGTGACCTCCAGAATACAATCCAGATCCTCAAATTACTGCTGGGTGCACAGAAGTAAAGGGAGTGAATGAACAATGCCCATTCACCCTCCTCCCTCCCCCCACCCAGGATTTTAACACAGGCCACAATAAACTAGCAAAATACTGCAAAATCATATGGAGTTTTTTTTTTTAACAAAGATTGTTAACTAATTGTTGAACACATATACAGAAAATAGTTGGGTTGGGTTTGAGCTGGGTCAACTTGCAAGGTAAGAATGCTAGGCCTATCCAATACACCTTAATAACCTTATTTATTTATTTTATATATATATATATATATATATATATATATATATATATATATATATATATATATATATATATATATATATATATATATATGTCGTACCTAATAGCCAGAACGCACTTCTCAGCCTACTATGCAAGGCCCGATTTGCCTAATAAGCCAAGTTTTCATGAATTATTGTTTTTCGACTACCTAACCTACCTAACCTAACCTAACCTAACTTTTTCGGCTACCTAACCTAACCTAACCTATAAAGATAGGTTAGGTTAGGTTAGGTAGGGTTGGTTAGGTTCTGTCATATATCTACGTTAATTTTACCTCGAATAAAAAAAAATTGACCTCATACATAATGAAATGGGTACCTTTATCATTTTATAAGAAAAAAAATTGAGAAAATATATTAATTCAGGAAAACTTGGCTTATTAGGCAAATCGGGCCTTGCATAGTAGGCTGAGAAGTGCGTTCTGGCTACTAGGTACGACATATATATATATATATATATATATATATATATATATATATATATATATATATATATATATATATATATATATATATATATATATATATATATATGTTGTACCTAGTAGCCAGAATGTCGTACTCAGCCTGCTATGCAAGGCCCGATTTGCCTAATAAGCCAAGTTTTCCTGAATTAATATATTTTCTCAAATTTTTTTCTGTTAATTTTTCCTAATTTTTCTGTCAAAGTGTGACAACTTTGAAGTGCAATAAGTTGACCTGATACTACATAAATTAAGAACATATGAAGAATAATGTATAGTGTGCATGTAAAATTTTAAACAATAGAGAAGAAAATAATGGCTTTTAAAATGAGAACTTAAATGGAAGAAAAGACCAGTTTATGAAATAACCAAAGAATGCCTTTCATTTGATGTCCTCTCCTTATTCTGATCATTATCGTCCTTGCTCTGCTTTTTTGTGCCTTGTGTGCTATCACACTTCCCACTTGTTTAATTTTGTATCGTTAACAAAAGGATGGTACTGTAAATAACACCCACCCTGTCCCTCCAGGTATCACTGTGTACAGGAGTCTTAGCAGGTGTGTGGAAAAAGGCTAATATAGTTCCAATCTAAGAAAGTGACAGCAGGGAAACCCCCCTCTATTATAGACCTGTATCATGGATAAGTGCAACAGTCAAAATATTGGAAAAATAATTAAAACTAAATGGGTAGAAGACCTGGAGAAAAATGATATAATATCAGACAGACAGTATGGTTTTTCGATCTGGAAGATCCTGTGTAATGAATTTACTGAATTTCTATGATAGAGCCACAGAGATTTTACAGGAAAGAGATGGTTGGGTTGACCATCTATCTGAACCTAAAAAAGGCTTTTGACGTAGTTCCACATAAGAGGTTGTTCTGGAAACTGGAACATATTGGAGGAGTGACAGGTAGGCTTCTAACATTGCTGAAAAATTTTGACTGAAAAATAAGGGCAATAATCAGAGGCTATGTATTGGATTGGAAAAATGTCACGAGTGGAGTACCTCAGGGTTCAGTTCTTGCAGCAGCAATGTTTATTGTCTACATAAGCAACCTACCAGATGGAATACAGAATTATATGAACATGTTTGCAGATGATGCTAAGATACTAGGGAAGATAAGAAACTTAGACGATTTTCACGCCCTTCAAAAAGATATGAACAAAATAAGTGTATTTTTTTGGATACGATCCAAAATAAGTGGATCCTAAATTATTCGTCTCAAAGCCCTCCATATATACTCACTAGAAAGAAGACGAGAGAGATATCAAATAATATACACATGTAAGATACTGGATGGCAAAGTACCAAATCTACACAGTAAAATAACAACATACTGGACTGAACAATATGGAAGAAAATGCAGAATAAAACAAGTGAAGAGCATGGGTGTCATAGGCATAATCAGAGAACACTGTATAAACATCAGAGGTCCACGGTTGTTCAACACCCTCTCAACAAGCATAAGAAATATTGCCAGAACAACCGTGGACATCTTCAAGAGGAAACTAGATTGATTCCTCCAAGAAGTGCCGGACCAACCGGGCTGTGGTGGATATGTTGTCCTGCGGGCCACTCCAAGCAACAGCCTGGTGGACCAAACTCTCACAAGTCAAGCCTGGCCTCGGGCCGGGGTTGGGGAGTAGAAGAACTCCCAGAACCCTATCAACCAACCAGGTATCAACCAGGAATGGAGCACGACTTGGCAAATGGAATTTAATGAGAATAAATGACATGGAATGTGGAATAGAACAACATAGATCCCCCACAACCTACAAATTATGTGAGAAATCATTAAAGAATTCTGATAAAGAGATCTAGGGGTGGTTCTAGATATGAAATCTATTACCTGAAAACCACATAAAGAACATTGTGCGAGGAGCCTATGCTACACTTTCCAATTTCAGAATTGCTTTTAAATAAATGGATGGTGAAATACTAAAAGGTGTTAAGTCATGCAACTAAATGGCTCCAGAAACTGAAGGACAAGAGCTACGAGGAAAGGTTAGAGGCATTAAATATGCCAAAACTATAGACAGAAGATATAGATATAGATAGATACAGATTGAAGAAAATAGAATAAAAAAGAAAATTTTGCCCAAAACGCTATGCGTATTAGTGGCTTTAGGTATTGTATGTATTAGCTCATCATTAAATCCAACATTATGTTTGTAAATCAACTATGTATGTACTTTTCCTGAATAAAAATTTATTATTTATTATTATTATTATTATTATTATTATTATTATTATAGAGGCAATATGATCACTATGTACAAAATAGTAACGGGAATCTATAAAATTAATAGGGAAGAATTCCTGAAACCTAGAACTTCAAGAACAAGAGATCATAGATTTAAACTAACTAAACAATGCTGCAGAAGAAATATAAGTAAATTCCCTTTCGCAAACAGTAGTAGACGGTTGGAACAAGTTAGGTGAGAAGGTGGTGGAGGCCAAGACCGTCAGTAGTTTCAAAGCGTTATACGACAAAGAGTACTGGGAAGACAGGGCACCACAAGCGTAGCTCTCATCCTGTAACTACACTTAGGTAATTACCAATTCCGAATGCCACACCTCGCCTTACTAGGCTGCCTTACATATTCAAACAGATGCTAGGCTTAAAAATAAAATTAAAGCTATATACTAACCTGTGAAGAAAATGAGGCAACATACTTCACACGAACTGGTGGCATCCTAAATATAAAATTTCTGGTTACTTTTACGAAATAATACGAGGACGGGAGCTACACCATTGTTTGTTTACGTTTTGCTCTCTCCCGCCACGGGGGGCAACGAACCTAGAACTGCATTACGAGCCTAGAGCGGGAGGCCCGTCGAGTTTATTTATTTATTTTTATTAATTTATTTATTTACAAGAAGGTACATTGGGTTAGAGAGAATACATAGCATAGTATTTACAATCTTGTAAAGCCACTAGTGCGCGCAGCGTTTCGGGCAGGTCCTTAATCTAACAGATAATTTTAAGTAGGTAAATTCTAGCAGAATTAATAAAATGATAACAGATACATTGCAAGAAAAAAAAATGAGATGAGAGGGAATAGTAAGTATATTAAAGCACATTGGTATATTAAAGCTCTGGTTGATTACATTGACAACTTGATTGGTAATTTAAACAAGATTAACAGACACCGTACAGCAGATTGATAGCACATATAAGAACAGCAATGATCACAATAGTAAAGATGTTCGGATTGGGTTAGTTAATAAATATTAGGTACCTATTATACAATCATAAAAAGCATTAAACCAGTATGAGTATATATCACCTGAAAGAAATAGAAGGACGAAGTTCGAAAAATTTACCCAGCCAATTTAGACATGGAATACCGACCGTACATGCAACAAGTAAGGTCTATAATTACGTTTCCTGTTGCTGAGGACAGGAAGCTAGTGAGGCTCATCGAGGTGTACTTAGGTCTACTACTGACCTCTTCTAAGATGCAACCCTCAACAGCTGCCTTACACATACTACTTATGGTATAGTCGTTGCAGTGCAAGATTAGTGTAATTGACAAAAGATTAAACAATCCATGGCTCACAAGTGGCATTCTCAACTTTTTTCAACAAGAAACATGAATATGAAAAGAAACTTAGGATTGGCCTAGTTTCAAAGGAAGTAGCTAAAAGGTACTCATCAATGCTTACCAGTATCATAAGAAAGGCAAAACTTTCATATTATGTGAATAGATTCAATGAAGCAAAAGGCAACATTTGCAGTCTCCGTGGTGTAGTGGTAAGACACTCGCCTGGCGTTCCGCGAGCGCTATGTCATGGGTTCGTATCCTGGCCGGGGAGGATTTACTGGGCGCAATTCCTTAACTGTAGCCTCTGTTTAACGCAACAGTAAAATGTGTACTTGGATGAAAAAACGATTCTTCGCGGCAGGGGATCGTATTCCAGGGACCGTAGGATTAAGGACTTGCCCGAAACGCTACGCGTACTAGTGGCTGTACAAGAATGTAACAACTCTTGTATATATCACAAAAAAAAAAAAAAAAAAAAAAAAAAAACATGAAAAGCACATGGAAAACAATCTCTAGTATCCTAGGAACTAAACAACACTCACATAAGAAGAACATAAGAACATAAGAACAAAGGTAACTGCAGAAGGCCTATTGGCCCATACGAGGCAGCTCCTATTCTATAACCACCCAATCCCACTAATATACTTGTCCAACCCGTGCTTGAAACAATCGAGGGACCCCACCTCCACAATGATACGCGGCAATTGGTTCCACAAATCAACAACCCTGTTACTGAACCAGTATTTACCCAAGTCTTTCCTAAATCTAAACTTATCCAATTTATATCCATTGTTTCGTGTTCTGTCCTGTGTTGATACTTTTAATACCCTATTAATATCCCCCCGGTTATGTCCATTCATCCACTTGTAAACCTCTATCATGTCACCCCTAACTCTTCGCCTTTCCAGTGAATGCAACTTAAGCTTTGTTAATCTTTCTTCATATGAAAGATTTCTAATTTGGGGAATTAACTTAGTCATCCTACGCTGGACACGTTCAAGTGAACGTGTCCAGCGTTCGTGAACGTGAACATAACTCACACGCAGTCTCCGTGGTGTAGTGGTAAGACACTCGCCTGGCGTTCCGCGAGTGTTATGTCATGGGTTCGTATCCTGGCCGGGGAGGATTTACTGGGCGCAATTCCTTAACTGTAGCCTCTGTTTAACGCAACAGTGAAATGTGTACTTGGATGAAAAAACGATTCTTCGCGGCAGGGGATCGTATTCCAGGGACCTGCCCGAAACGCTACGCGTACTAGTGGCTGTACAAGAATGTAACAACTCTTGTATATATCTCAAAAAAAAAAAAAAAAAAAATAAATCTCTATAAGGATTTAGAAATGTCAACTTCGACAACTCCGTCAACTGATTTAGAAATGGCAAATGAATTTAATAGCTTCTTTTCATCGGTTGGTGCTAATCTTGCCAGTAAAATCCCACAGACTCAGACACATATTAACACATTTATTTATTTATTTATTTATTTATGCATATACAAGAATGTACATAAGGAATGTGAGGATACAAATATGGTAATTACAGTCTTGTAAAGCCACTAGCACGCGCAGCGTTTCGGGCAGGTCCTTAATCTAAGAAAATTTTAAGGAGGTAAATACTTGCAAAATTATAGACAAAAAATGATAACAGATTACATGAAATGAAAAAAAGATGAGAGAAAATTGTAGGTACAGTATATTAAAGCACATAGGTAGCTAAGATTGATTGCAATGACAGCTTGAATGGTAGTTGACAAAAAAATTGGTAGGCATAATGCAGCAGAAGCAATATAAGATTGGTTGCAATGACAGCTTGAATGGTAGTTGACAAAAATTGGTAGTCACAATACAGCATATGGCTAGCACATAAAAGAAGACAGCAATGAACACAATGATAAGGTTGTTTGAAATTACATAAAAATTAGGAGATTGGGTAACACTAGGTACAGAGCAAATTTAAAGCTCAGTGTAGGAAACTAAGAAGATGAAGTTAGGTACTTTTTGGTTTTGCTTTTAAATAAGGCAAAAGTTTTACAGTTTTTCAATTCACTAGGGAGTGAGTTCCATAAACTAGGTCCCTTAATTTGCATAGAGTGTTTACACAGATTAAGTTTGACCCTGGGGATATCAAAGAGATATTTATTTCTGGTGTGGTGATAATGGGTCCTATTACATCTGTCCAGGGAGAGTTTCAGAGCATGGTTTGCATTTAAGAACAGGGTTTTGTAAATGTAGTTGACACAAGAGAATGTGTGGAGGGAGTTAATATTTAGCAAGTTTAGGGATTTAAACAAGGGAGCTGAGTGTTGTCTAAAACCTGAGTTAGTTATCATTCTGATAGCAGATTTTTGCTGTGTGATGATAGGCTTAAGGTGGTTTGCAGTGGTAGACCCCCATGTACAGATGCCATAATTAAGATAGGGGTAAATTAGTGCATAATATAGTGAGAGGAGAGCAGAGTTAGGAACATAATATCTGATTTTGGAGAGTATACCAACAGTCTTAGAGACTTTCTTAGTTATGTGTTGAATGTGGGTGCTGAAGTTGAGTCTCTTGTCTAGGAATAGGCCAAGAAACTTGCCATCATCTTTATTACTGATGTTAATGTTGTCTATCTGTAGCTGAATTGCATTTGATGATTTGCTTCCAAATAAGATGTAGTAAGTCTTTTCGATGTTTAATGTTAGTTTGTTCGTTGACATCCATAAGTGGACTTTTTTTAATTCATTATTCACAACATTATTTAGTGTATGTGGGTTGAGGTTTGAATAGATAAGAGTAGTATCGTCAGCAAACAGTATAGGTTTGAGAATATTAGAGACATTAGGCAGATCGTTTATATATATAAGAAATAGAAGAGGTCCTAAGATGCTGCCCTGTGGCACTCCAACGGTAATTGGTAGAGTGGACGAAGTTGTATCATTGATGGTTACATATTGGTGTCTGTCACTAAGATACGATCGGATGTAGTCAAGGGCAAGGCCTCGGATTCCATAATGCTGGAGTTTAAGTAAGAGGTAGTTGTGATTAACAGTATCAAAGGCTTTTCTTAGGTCAATGAAGAGTCCAATCGGAAACTCATTTTTGTCAAGGGCTGAGTAGATAACGTCAAGGAGACTAATGATTGCATCGTTGGTGCTCTTTTGGGACCGGAAGCCAAACTGGCAGGGGCTGAGTATGTCGAATTTTACGAGGTAGGAATAGAGCTGTTTGTAAATAATTTTTTCAAATATTTTTGATAGAATGGGTAGATTTGATATTGGTCTATAATTGTTTATGTCCGCCGGATTGCCTCCTTTATGGACTGGCGTTACTCTTGCTTTTTTGAGGATATCAGGGAAGGTGTGATACTCTATAGATTTGTTGAACAGTAGTGCTATGGGTGGGGCAAGGGCATGGGAGGCTCTCTTGTACACAATGGACGGAATTTCACTGGTGTTCCCTGCCTTGGTTTTTAGAGAGTGTATGATGGACACAACATCTGCCGGGCTGATTGGTGAAAGGAGAAGAGAGTTTGGATAGCTGCCTGAGAGATATGTGTTAATATGTGTCTGAGTCTGTGGGATTTTACTGGCAAGATTAGCACCAACCGATGAAAAGAAACTATTAAATTCATTTGCCATTTCTAAATCAGTTGACGGTATATCCCCATCCTTGTAGAGTTTTATCTGGTTATGTGAGTGTTGCTTAGTTCCTAGGATACTAGAGATAGTTTTCCAAGTGTTTTTCATGTTGCATATCTCTCAGGCAGCTTTCCAAACTCTCTTCTCCTTTCACCAGTCAGCCCGACAGATGTTGTGTCCATCATTCACTCTCTAAAAACCAAGGCAGGGAACATCAGTGAAATTCCGTCCATTGTATACAAAAGCGCCTCCCATGCCCTTGCCCTACCCATAGCTCTACTGTTCAACAAATGGCCACTGCTTTGCAAGCGGGGATGTTTCTGATGGGGGAGAAAGAAACAATTGTGCAGCGCGTCCCGCGGCGTTGCGCGGGCAGTCTGGGGCCATATAAATACTGGGGTAAAGAGGGGCTCTGCCAGACGGGAGACATCTCCCGTCACGCAGGGTGCAGTCGCACCTCCACAGATCTCCAGTATCATTTATTGATACTGGTGATGGCTCAAAGGGCCACCACTTACGAGCTATTCATGCCCGTGCCACCTTTTGGGTGGCTTCATCTTCATCTTAACACATTCACAAAGGAGACATCTCCCGTCATGCAGGGTGCATTCGCACCTCCACA